AACCCACATCTAATTTCCTATTAGTTCTTGTTATATAAAAGTAATAAATAAATAAAATAATATAAATTAATAAACAACAAAATTTCCAATTATTTGATTAAGATGTAAAAGAACACATAAACTACCAATTATCCTTTACATCTAATTCAAAATATTATTAAATTCAACACCTAGTACATAAAAGTTTATATTCTTTCCAACAATATGCAGGTTGATGGGTCAAGTTTAGCTTAATACCATACCCTACCTGTAACATACGTGTTGTAGAATCTCAAAACCCGACTTGCCCTAGAACCCATCCTTCAAACAAAAAAACTTGCCCCATCGGGTTGGGTATAAATTGCCATCTGTAAGCCCAAGATGTTTAGTTAAGGTTGAATTGAGCCTTGGTTGGTAAACTCAGGCTTAACCTTGAATTGAAGCAAGCTTAAGTTTGAGGTTTGAGACTTAGGATTGGACTAACCCTCAACTCGACCCAACCCACTCAAGTTGCACCTAGTAAGGACTTGTGTGATGCACGAGCTTTGTTAAGCGAAAGCTAAACAATAAAAGCACATAAGTGGGAAAATTCCCATATTCCTTATTCTCAAATATTTTATATTGTAAATTAAAACCTTTTAATTTATTTTTTAATAATACCACTGAAAATTTTAAATTTAATTTTTTAAGTTTAAATCTTTTGAACCAACCAACCAAACCAAAATTTAACCCAAAACAATACAACCCAAGTTAGCTAGTTTTCACTAATGGTTGGTTGGTTTCGAGTGACCAACTCCCCAACCTGGTTAGGTCAATTTGGTTGGCCAAACAACCTATAACTGAATCTAACCAACTCGTGGACACTCCTAATATTAGCTAAACTAATACTTTAATATCTAATAAATAGCTTAATCACCAATAATTATTGAAAACTTTCTATTAAATAACAAAACAAAAATAGATTTATACATAATTATTGAAAATATATTTATCACAAAAATATAATAAATATAAATTTTAGTATTTATAAATATATAATAAATATAAATTAAGATTTTAAAATTATTATTAATAAATATCAATTTTCTGAAAGTTGTTTTCAATAATTATTAATTGATATAAGTGAAATAATGTTTTTATTATAAGTACATTAATAATTGCAATTATTGTTATATTTTTTATATTTTAATACCTATTAAAAACAATTTTCTGAAAGTTAATACCTATTCTTTTTATTTGAAAGCTTTAATACCTCTGAATTATTTAATATATTCTTTATTATTTCAATAATATTTAAAAATTTTAAATTATTTATATTTCATATTCTTATTCTCAAATATTGTTAAATCTATTTCAATTATTTTTTTGATAAAATTTTTAAGTTTATTACATAATTTATTTATTTAATCTATTTTATTTTTATATAATAATTAAAATTTGATTTAGTTATTAATTTTTTAATATTTAAAATATTTAAAATTAGTTATTTACAATATTATTTATCTATCTAAATAATATCATTATTTAGTTTTTTCAATATTACTTATTTATTGAATATCATAATCCATAAAATTACATGTTATACTATTATTACATAATTTCGTTAATAATTTTTTAAAATGTAAAACTATTATTAATTCAAATATTATGAAATCTATTTTAATGATTTTCTACTTTTAATAATTTTTTTAAGTTTATTACAGAATTATTTTATTTTAACTATTTAAAATTTAGTTATGTTAAATGTTTTGTTATTTCAAATATTCAGTTATTTAAATAAAATGTTAAATATTTAAAATTTTCATTCTTTAAATTTTATTTATTTTAAATTTATTACATAGTTTTAAATATTTTGTTATATAATATTTAGCTATTTTTAATATTTTTATTTATAATAATTAGTTATTGAAATTTTTAAATAATGTATACTTTTTTAATTTTTAATTTTTATTATTTGAATAATATTTAAATTTAATAATTCATAAATTATAATTTATATTGTTAGTACATAATTTCATTATGAATTTCATAAAAGTGTAATTCAAACTTTCTTCTGATAGATATAGATGAAAAGTGGGGGATAGGATAAATTGGAATTAGAGATAATTTAGGAGAGAAACTCTCTAATAAATCAAAGATATTTAAGAATTATGTATAATTTAGGAGATAAATAGGAATTATAGATAATTTAGGGGGAAGTGGGGATAGTGGTGCCACTTGGCTAGATTAGATTATATTTTGGTATATATATATATATATATATATATATAGAGAGAGAGAGAGAGAGAGAGAGAGAGAGAGAGAGAGAGAGAGAGAGAGAGAAAGAGATTTTAGGAATAGCTTGAGGAAGGATAACCAAAGGGATAAATATAGAGGAAAGAGGCATGGGCCAAGCATGATGATGCGTCATTATGAGAGGGGCCCAGATGTAGCAGGCACGTCAGGTAAGCACAATGAATGAGCACGTAATATCTGTGTGACATATGTCCTAGCTAATGCACCTTTTATCCAAACATTTTTGTTGAGTTGGATAGAAATTATCCATTATTTTATTATCTTTGTCAAAATAATTAAAAATAAAAACAATGAAAACGGAAAACCTAAACGTGTTGGGAGTTGGAACTCATTTACATTTTCCTTTTTTATTGTTTTTTATTTTTAATTATTCTAACAAAAATAATAAAATAATTGATAATTTCTGTCTAACAGAGTAAAAACGATTGGATGAAAAGCGCATTAGCTAGAACATGTGTCACACAGCTATTACGTGCTCACTCATTGTGCTTACCTAACATGCCTACTACATCCGGACCCTTATGAAAGAGGGAGAAGTGAGTGATGAGGTGGCTTCATGAAGGATCAAGGCTAAAATGAGAAGGACCGAGAGTTCTCCATTGGGGTAATGGAGAAAGCACAAGCCATGATGTGGCATTAGGGGTGTCCATGAAAAACTGGAAAATTGAACCGAATTGAGAAAACTGAACCGCAAAATGCGGTTAACCAAACCGATCGATTTGGTTTCGGTTAACCTAGAAAAAAACCAATGGTTAACCGAATCGACCGGTATATATATATTTATATGTATATTATATATATATTTAATATATGTCACATATTTTTTATATATTATATATAAATATATACTTATATTATATTTATAAATATATTATATATTATATATTATATATATTTAAAATATTTATAGTATATTATATATCATTTATTATTTATATTATAATATTATACATATATTTATATAATATATATTATAAATATAAAAAACCAAAAAACCGAACTGGTAAAAAACTAAAACCAACGGACCGGTTAACTGATGGTACCAGTTTGGTTTCAGTTTGAAGAAATGAAAAAAACCAATATATATATATATATATATATATATATTATAGATGATTTAAAGAATACCACCATGTTTATGTGGTATATTTAGAGAAAAGTGAAATAATAAGATTTTTATTAAGTTTACTACGAAGTCTGCCTTGGTTCTTCTTTCACTATTACTTACATGCATGTTCTTAGATAAGCCAATTTTGGTCAAACTGGGCTTTTGTGTCCTTGTGATGTATGGGTCAGGTATAGCCTAGGTCTTTGTAATTTTTTCTTTCTTCTAAGAACAGTAAAAACAGGCAAGTAATTTTTTATACGAGTGAATGCCCCAAATGTTCAAAAGTGCAATATAGAAACATCACCATGCCTTTATATGAATATTGAATGCCCCAAATGTTCAGAAGTGCAATATAGAAACATCACCATGCCTCGTTCTAGGATTTCTTAAAGTGTCGCTAACTTATGCTAATGGATTTTCTAATGAAGAAACTCTATAAATCTGTTTTCATATAGAAGAACTGGTTGTAATGGTGGCAATTGTACCCAGGAAAATGGTTTTAAGGTATGATTATCATATGTAAACTCTAATGTAGATCAATAGGGATTTGCTCTAGACCATTTGATGTTGGCAAAAAGATGTGGAGAATGGAGCATGACTCTGTTTTAGAATTACAAAGAAGATTATGATGAAGAAATGGGAGAATGGCTATTCAGCACATCCTAAGAATTCTTAGCCCCACAATACAGTTGGGGTAGGTGCCAGTTTGGAATTAATGACAATACACGAGCGGGTATTAGTGTTTTGGATAGGGGCATTTGTCATTTTGAATTATGTAAAATTACAGTGGAATTCAAAATTCTGTAGTGTGGTGCAGTGTATTTTTCCGTGAAAAAATCACTTAATTTGATTGGACATGAGAGAGAGATGAAGAGTAAAAGTTTCTTGATTGCTCTCTACTCAAACAAGAACATTATTTAATATTAATTTAGAAAGTATAAGATAAAACAAAATCCAAAGACAAAAGAACGAAAACTAAGGAATACAATCCTAGTTAACCCAACCCAAACTTGATATTCCATCCTTATTAGCACCTTTTCCATAATATTCTCTACGCGATTGCCATCTTTGAATATCTTGGACAGTTCTTAACTCTATCCACTCTTGATCATTTGCTCCACTATGTTAGAACAAACCTCTCCTAGAATTAATGCATGACAAAGGATTCGAACCAATAAAAAAAAGCATGGCCAAGGCTTCACCATATTGGTTTCCAAGCATGGCTGTTTAGCAACAATACAAGAAACTATATTTTTTTGGGTAGAAATTCAATGAATAGATTCGAGGAAGTCCGGGTTAATTTTAGTGAGGAGACTAAATTGTTAGATAGACCAAAATTCGCAGATAATTGTTCTAAAAAGGTTATAAACAAATGTTGGTCAGTTATCTGGGATAGGTGGATTAGATATCAGCCTGTCCTTCAGCATTTTTTCATTTGTATTTTGAGTAAAGTTGCCTGTGGCCTCTCTTGGACTTGAACCCACATTCTCATTCAAGTGGAGAAAACAACATAAAACCTTCAAAGCAACTACAATCCAATTAGACATGTTTATGGGCCGGGTTCAGGTTTTGCTTTTGCCGGGTTCAAAGCAACTACAATCCAACAACATACAGACACTGATGTATCTGCGTTCACCCAATCAAATTAGTGGTAGGGGAATATTCAATACATCATAATCTTCAAACTTTCAAAACTTCATCAGCTAGCATTACATAAAAATGTCAACATATAAGGTCCATAGTCTATCTGATGAATAATTTGGATTGTATCGCTTAATCATGTTGATCATTGATGCATGAAACGTTACAGAGAAGTTCCTCAAAGGAAAAATAAAAAATAAATAAAATGATACAGAGAAAACTAAAGAAATAAAATGTTGAAGAAGCTATTAATAACTTCACTGAAAAGTTGATTTATCAGCTGAATTCAAGTGTGTTCGGGATTTTTGGGTTTTTCATCAAATGTATCTTCTAAGCTTCCCGTGTGATGTGAGGCTTACCTTACAAACCCAGAAGCCGCTGCATGAAAACCCTCCCAAACGGGCACCAAAAAGAAGGCCATTACTCAATGTTGGTTGGTCCCAGATGGCTTGGGGTCTTGGGAGGCGTAGACTGAATACACTACTCAATGTTACAGAGAATTATCTGAATACTGTATCTGCCCCATCCTACATTTGGCTGGAAGTAGGCTGCAGTAAACTCTAAAGGCAGTGCTAACTAGGCCCTGAGTCTTCGAGCCAGCTTGTGTAAGGAACCTGGACCAGCATCTAGTCTTGGATGACCTAGGGCTTCTGGATAGTAAAGGAAGAGATTGACAGTAGCTTCTCAAATTTCTGGCTGGTCCAGCATTCAGAACCACTTCAGCTAACTGACAATCATTTATAATGCCTGAGCCAACCTTATCCCTATCCAGATTTCCTCCTCACAACACTTGCAGCTGTGCATTGGGGACATCTCCGTGGTCAGAAACACCTTTCTTTTGGTAACCTCAATTTATTCTGAATTGAAAAAAAAAAAACCGTTATACCAAGTAGGAGGACATAAGGTTCCAACTAATCTTCATGTGTGAAGGCATTGGTGCAACAAACCGAAGCACATCTGGTCTAGAACTAAATTTTGGCAAATTCTGAGATTTCCTGTCCAAAATGTCAAGGAACTTCGCAATGTTTGGAAGAATAAGTTCTCTACAATGGAGATGTAGCAAAGGGACCTTAGATAAGACACTTCCCTTCTGAACGTCCAAACCTTCTGGCCTCCGCAATTTGTATGGCTTCCCTGTTGTTGGCTCAATGTCAACCCGGGGCATCTGCTTCCACTTTTTGTGCACATACCAACCATACTTGTAATCCCCTACAATTGGTGTGCCTAGAGCTTCTGCACAATGGACCCTGAGCTGCAAAAAAGAATAAAGTTGGTATTAGACATGGCCGAATCTAGACGGTTTCAGTGCTTTATAAGATAAAAAATGTTTGAGCAGGGATCCACTACGGTCTTGTGTCAGCCAATGCGATCCTAATCAGTAGTCATCCATGCTGACAAGGGTAACTTGGCCAACACTCAAGGCATTTGATATTTGGTCACTGAAGATTTGCCCTAATTTGACATGGGCACTAATTAGGAGTAGTCCTCCATGCTGACAAGGGTAACTTGGCCAACACTCAATGCATTTGATATTTGGTCACAGAAGATTTGCCCTAATCTGACATGGGCACTAACTCAACTCAACTAAGCCTTGTCCCAGTTATATAGGTCAGCTACATGAATCCTGTTCCACCATTCCGTTCAGTTCCATATTCATTGTAAACTTGTGAGCTCTCAATCATTTCTATTCATTACAACCCATGTTCATTTTGGTCTGCCTCTAGTTCTTCTAGACCCTTCAACTTGTAACAGTCACTTCTCAGAGTCAATCAGCCTGCAAAAGGATTTCCATACTTCTCACATCACAAACAGAACCGCACAATAAACCCTCTTGGTCTATTTTCCACATAGAGGGTATCACATTACCAGATGATCACCATACGTATTGGGATGACTCAAAACACCTGATCAGACTGAATTCTCAAATATCTGTAGCAAGCAATATAGATCACAGTAAATAAAAAGAAAAAATCAATGGGAAAAGAGAGAAAAGAATGAATGGAGGACTGGGTTACTACAATCCATGCTCTGATACCATGTAAACAAGTCTGGTTTCAAAGGGGAGAAATGGAAAAAAAATACAAGGAAAAGAGAATAGGTAAAGTCTTTTCAATTAAAGACATTAGTCTACCCTCTACCTCTCCCGGCCATCCCTATATTTATATTCAACATCTAATTCTGAGAGATTTTACATAAGTACCCCTGTTTATAAAATAATCCAAATCCCTAAAATACCTTAAAGGAATACTCTCTCTCAGATATGAATAAAAATAAAACAATATAATGATGGACAGATATAAAACACCAATGTGCTTGAGCTGTCAAGGGATCCCATAAAGCTGATTGAATTCGCTACAACATTGTTTATGGCCAGTGTGTAAACTTTTAGAGAGCAGGTGGGTCAAATCTCATTGCCAGAGGCTTCCTTTATAGTCATAATTTCCTTTCAAGGCTTCCGAAGAAAAAGGCCCTCTTCCATCCATTCAAGTGCACTATAAGAGAGCTACAACTAGTGTTCTTTCAATTGATAAGCAATGACAAACATGAGGTGCAAAATAAGGCTAAAAGCAATGAGCACAATACAAATTGCTTTGTCCCATAAGCCAAAAACACCAACAAACCCAAAAAACAACAGCTAGAAAAAAGCTTACAAATTATAAGTCGGCCTGGGAATCCCTAGTCCAAACTATCTCTACCTACCCCACTTCTTGGAAACAAATCAGCTAACGAACTAGCACTCATTGGGACCCAGTTGAATGAGGCATTCAAAGAGACACCTAAAGAGTGAGCTAATCTCACCAAATATCTGAACTGGCTATGGGATCAAATCTTGAGAATTCATCCACTAAATGATTGTCTGACAGTCCCCCTCTACATCTACAGGCATGAAGACCTGTTGCAAGGTCAATTTTTAGTCTTTGAATTAAGGCCACCACTTCAGCTCTTAATGAAATTCCATACCCAACTGGACCAAGTAACTCAGCATTAAATTACCTCTGGAACACGAGTCACAACTAGTGTTTTTGTCACAAAGTAATTCAGAAGAACCAATAATCAGCTTCTACATACCTAATACTTCCTTCCATAGTTACCTGATTCATTGAACACAGCGGAATGGAAAAACAGAACTCATGTAGCCGACCCCATATAGTTGGGATAAGGCTTGGATGATGATGATGACAACGACATACCTGATGCTTCCTTCCAGTGAGTGGGCACAGCTCAATCCATGTGCATCCATTTATCATAGGACCCAGCACCCGAAAATCAGTTATAGCCTCCTGAGAAGCTTCTACACCCGAAGGGTTAGCCAAAATGACTCTTTCTGTCTTTCCATCATTCAAAAGAACCTAAATGAAGGAAAATGATAGTTGGTATTTGGAAAATTAAAACCAAAATATACAAATATGAGTTCAACAGAAATCACTAAATTCCAAAATCTCCATTCAACAAGGTAATGGAAGCAAACCTTTGAAAGAGGTGCACAAATACGACCTTGTTTTTCTCTGGGAGAACCTATAACCAGTGCCCAGTACCTCTGTGTTGTTGTTTCACAAGCATCATTCCAAGTCTATATGATCCATTAGTACACATACTGTTAAAAATATTACTAAAAGCATTATTGTAATCCATACCTACCATTAAATTTTCAAGTCTTTTACTATGCAAAAAATGTTCATCCATTAAAATTAAAGCACAACGCAATGCTGCAAACAAGTACCTTTAGTGGAGATTTTGCTTTATTTACATCACTGAATAACCAGTGAAGCCGAGCAATGCTTTCCTTTGTCCTTCCCATTAAAAGAAGGCCACTGCTCTCTCTATCCAGGCGATGCACCTGATGACGCATGAGAAAAACAGAAAACCAAAAATTTTAAATGAAATAACTGTAACACAGGCAATATGGTAGCAGACCTATACAATGTAACTAAAAACTCAACTAAGCCTTGCCCCAACTATACGGGGCCAGCTACAGGAATCCTGTTCCACCATTCTACCAGCCCTACCTAAATGAAAATTATGGTTAAGAATTCAATTGAGACAAACTTAACCTAGTATATCTCCTAGGTGTAGCCATTACATAGAAGGCATGTATGTATATTACTTGTGTCATTGAACACAGGAAACACACTCCATTGTAAGTGCCAATTATTAGGGGTGATCATTTTCAGCCTTTGATCAGAAATCAGGTGGAGGCTGATCCAGTTAGGGGTGTTTGGGGGAAACCAGTGCCACCAAGGGCTGAAAGTTTTTGCTTGGTTGGTTGTGAGAGGTTGCATTCTAACCCAGGATAACCTAACACTTAGAGGTCTTCAGTTTCCAAGTAGGTGTCTGCTGTGTTTTGCTGAAGAGGAAGATGTTTCTCACATTTACTTCACTGCAAATTCACATATCAGTTTGGTCCTATTTCTTCAATTTGTTCAAGCTGGACAAGAGCTCTATGGCAGATCCAGCTGAAATTTTTAGTTGCTGAAAGGATCCATGGTGGTGTTAAATCTAAGATTTTATGGACCTGTATTCCCTTTGCTGTGTGCTGAAAGATCTGGAAGGAAAGAAACAGAAGACTCTCCGAGGAGAAAAAGAAAAGTATGGAAGAGATGGTAGCCGTTATCAGTTTGACAGTTATTGGTTGGCTGCTGCTGCTTCCAGAGTTTCAAGGGCTGAGGAAGGAAGATTTTTGTGCTGATTTCTGGGATCCTCTGAATTCATAAAAGGATTGCTGATGACTGTTGTTTTGTTTTGAAATGTTGTAATGTGCCATTTGTATTTGGTGGTTGTGACATCTTGTCACCTAGTTATATTTGTACTGTTTTCCTTTTAGCAATAAATTTTTTTCCTTTATTTTATCTTAAAAAAAATCATTTTCAGCCTCGCCCAGAAATTCCAGGCTTCGGCCTAGGTTAATTATATATATATGTCATATTTTATGATTTATATATAAGTATTAGAATATGACACCCATAAAACATATGGCAGTCCAGTGCACGACTCTCCTGCCAAGACGGGGTCTGAGGAGGGACAGATGTACAGTCTTCCCTAAAGTTTAAGATAGATACTAATACCTCCCTTCTAATTTCTAATAGGACTTAAACCTCCCCATTAAATTTGGTAGATACAATAAAAAGACTCTTTTGCATTATTCTTTAAATTTAAGAAAACCACCCAAACTGGGAAATAAAGGATTACCACTGTTTTTTTTTCTGTGAAGGATAAAAATATACATAACACACAAAGGAAATTACATCAAGAGGGACTAAAACCTATTCAAGACAAAAGCTTGACTCTCTAACTAAGACACCAACATATGACCCAGTTTTTTACCAAAAAAAAAACATATAAGCCAGTTTATTTGTATCACGACTAATATGATGGCATGCTAAAGAACTGAGTAATAAATAATAGATATAAAATTCACAAAAAAGCACAATTCGACGAACACACGAACACAAATATGAATATTCCAGCTTGTTCTGTATGAACCTGATAACAATCTGATGATCGCCCATGCAGTTGTAGCTACTTCCCCCTTCACTGAACCATCATAGTAAACTGTTATATCACTATATCAGTATGATGTACAAACTCATCTCTTAACCTTCTGTTAGAATCATTCAAATTCTCAATCCTGGTACGCTCAACCTATTCATGATTCAACAACAAACTTATTTCTTTCATTATTTAATTGTTAAAACTGTCATAAATTTGTACTTTAGTGCTGCAGGGGCATATCTGTAATTTTCTCTATGTTTTTTGTGGATCATGTGATCCCTTTGTGCCCAAGTAAGTGGGTTGTGTAGGTCTGAATGATCTGTGACTGCTGCATCCGCAGTTTTCTAACTTCGTTTTGAAGATTACAGTAATTGAGTGGCCTAAAATATGATGAAGTGTTATTCGTAAGGGCTGTTCAGATCTGATATTGACCATTTTTGCTTCTGGAATTGGTTCAGTAGTGTTGTACTGTGTGTTCCGTATGTGTGGATGGAAGGAAATGGTTGCAAAGTGCTGTTTGTGTGAGAACAAGTATCCTTGTGACTGAATTGACTGAACTGTGAAACCCTATCATGTCTTCTGAGGATTCTAGTATGTCTGGTGTGTCCTCTAGTAAAGGAGGAGTGAGTGGAGGATCTAAAATGAATTTTCCTATGGCTGTGATTCCTTTTGATGGACTCAATTACCTAGAATGGTCAAGGGGAATTAAACTTTACAAAACTGCAAGGGGAAAAGTAGGTTATATTAATGGAAAAATCAAAGAACTGAGGTCTAGGGTGTAGAACATGATAAGTGGGACTAGGAAAACAACATGGTGATGTCATGGCTGTTACTGTCTATGCTGCTACAAGTGAGGACGACCTTCATGTGGGGAGAAACAGCTTATGAGATTTGGGAGTAGGCTAATCCACCTATTCAGAACAACAACATTATGCAAAAATCTATCATTTGCAAGCTGCATCCTCAAATTGTAAGCAGGGGGAGAAAAGTCTCTCTGTATACTATTTAGATTTAACCTCAATTTGGAAAGAGTTGAACCACTATCAGAACATGGACGGGAAATGTGATGTAGATGATAAGGTTTAGAAGTCCTTGGTTCCTCAACAACGGGTTTTTGCCTTTCTCTTGGGGTTAAACCCTATATATGAGTCTATTGGGGTTCAGATATTTGGAAGTAAAGATCTCCCATCAATGCAAGAAGTGCATGCCCTAGTACAGTCAAAAGAGAGCAAACGGAATGCAATGAATAATTCTGAGGGGGATCAAATTGGCTTGGTATCTAAGGGAAATGTAGTTGCAAGGGGTGGGAATTCTTTCAAGAAGGGTGACTTCCGGAAGAAAGTTGATGACAAGGATAAGCTATGGTGTACTCATTGTCAGAAGTCTAGACATACTCGTGATACATATTGGGATATTCATTTGAAGCCAAAGTGGGCTCAAGAGTTGAGTAAGAAGTCAAATCAGAATAAGAAACCAGGACCACAAAGTCTAATGAAGTATCATGTAACAAATATGGCTTCTTAGGAGTCTCAACCCTCTATCACACTACCTTGAGCCAAGAATGCTCTTTTATGACTAATCCCAAGGAAGATATCATTAATTCCTTCAATGACCATTTGGAGTTGTACGGTAGGGCAATCCGTCAGATGGATTTTGCTCCTCCTCCCTTGACTTCCTTTGCATCTACATCAAGTAATGGTAATTCTGCCATAGCTTTCCATGTGACCTCTCATCCCTCAGACTCCCCTCGAATAATAGATTTTGAAGCCTCGAACCACATGACTGGTAAGTCAAATTGTTTCCAATCCTGTCATCTCTTGTCTGGAAGGGACAAGCTGAGACTAGATGATGGCTTCTTTTCCACCATAGCTGGTCAAGGAACCATCTCCCTTCCCTTTGGACTTACCCTTTCTAATGTGTTACATGTTCCAAAATTGCCTATAAACTTGTTCTCTATTAGTAGAATTACAAACTCATTAAACTGCTCAGTAACTTTTCTTTCCTTCTTGTATGATACAAGATTTGGCCTTAGGGAGGAGGATTGTTAGAGGTCGTATGGAGGATGGTCTCTACATGCTGGAGACTAAAGCTAGTCTTGCAGTTACCAAGTCTAAGAGTCAGTCTAGTAAGAGAAAAGTTTAGTTATGGCATGGTCATTTTGGTCCCTTATCTTTTGAGTCATTAAATTTTTGTTCCCAAAATTGTTCAAGTCGGTGTTAGTATCTGAATTCACATGTCAAATTTGTCACTTGAGCAAACATTATAGAAATCTTTTTTTTTTATATTTAAACATTGTAGAAATCATTTTGCTTCAAGAAATAATAAATATAACTTTCCTTTCCATATTGTTTATTATTATGTTTGGGGCCATTTTACTTTACCCTCTAAGACTGACTATAAATACTTTATTACACTTATTAATAACTACTCCATATATACATGGGTGTATCAATGCGATCCAGAGATGAAGTGCCAACAATTGTAAAAGATTTCCAATGCATGATATTCACTCAATTTTAGACAAAATTACCAATTTGACAATGCCAAAACACCCCAACATAATGGTGTTGCAAAAATGAAAAGCTGCCATCTCCTTGAAGTTGCTCGTGGATTACTTATACATATGAATGCTTCAAAAGTTTTTGGTTGGATGTTGTTTTATGTGCTGCCTACCTTATCAACCATATGCCATCTTGTTTGTTAGAGTACAAGGTCCCTCATTAGCTCTAGTTCCCCAAAGCTCCCTTATTTTCTATTCCTATTTGTGTACTTGGTTGTCGTTGTTTTGTTCAAGACTTGTCTCCTACTCATGGTAAGCTTGACCCTTGTATTATTCCTTATATACATTCTTGGGCTACCCTCCTTCTCAAAAGGGTTACAAGTGTTTTGAGCCCATTTTCAGAAAATATTGTCTCTATGGATGTGTCTTTCTTTAAGAGTGATCATTTTTTTCCAATTTCTCCTCAGGGGGAGAGTAGGGGAGAGGAAAAACAGGTCTAGGTTCTTCCTCCTCTGTTATGTCTGTTCCTTCACTGTCGCAAGGGCCAGCCAAGTTCAAGAGTTGTGGAGCAACTTGAAGCTATACTACCAATAGGAATCTGCTGAATTAAAAAATATGAAAGAAAGTAGTTTCTTGAAGAGAGGAGAAGAAGAGAAGAAGAGAAGTTGAAAAGAAAAAGAGAGCAATAATCTGGCCACCTCCTTCACTTATTATTTATACTAAAATAATAGAACAGTACAAAGACAACTATGCCCTTATAGGGCGGCAAAACATAAAACAGCATATATAACACTCAAAAACATAATARAATTTRGACWYAMATAACTAHTRTGGTYCYCACYTCCTAT